GCTTGCGGTCGGTCATAAAGGGACCTCCAGCTAACTTTTTAACCCCTGGATGGATTTGGCTGATTTTTGGTTATGTTTATGTTTTAAGTGTGCTGATTCCAAATATGTAATTATAAAGATGGGATGTGTAGTTTTAAAGTTACAGGGTATGGCTAAAAACTGTATTTTTACTGCCTGTGTTTAATTATGTTAATCTCTTCCCAAACGTCATTTCGTTCAAAGTGGAGAGAATGTTAAAAAAATATATTTTTGTTCGGAGTGTGAGAAATACTTTTCAGCCGCTTCTAATCTTAAGCATCATTTGAGGAGCCATACAGGAGAGAAACCTTATTTGTGGTGTGTTTAGTATTGTTCTGATCAGTTTAATACCTTCCGCGTCTCCTATCAGTGGACGTGTATATGGCAGCCATTTTAGGAACCGTACACCTGGGACCCGAGCAAGGTCACCTCGCTCAACAGGCTTGCAGCGTATCCTCCAGGAAGAAGAGCCTGAACCCTTACCGGCTGCACGTGTCTTACCTGTACATGGAAAGCTGCTCTGGTTCCTTGATGAGCCAGCTGCCCGCGAGTTAACATGTCCCGTGGAGAAGCACTCTGTCCTGTAAAGCCTCACCAAAAAAAAGGAGTGGTGTGTTTAGTATTGTTCTGATCAGTTTAATACCTTCCGCGTCTCCTATCAGTGGACGTGTACACGGCATTGATTTTTATCTAAGCCGTAAACTTTTGCACAGCGAAGTATATTCACTGCCATTGAAAAGGAGTGCATGGCGGTGGTGTGGGCCCTCAAAAAGCTGCAAACTACTTGTATGGACAACCGTTTACCTTACTCACAGATCACATTAAATTTGGGGCACTGCGCGGTCAAGCTAATGTGACACCAGATAGGAGTGGTGTGTTTAGTACTATTTTTATCAGTTTAATACCTTCCGCGTCTCCTATCAGTGGACGGGTACACGGCGTTGATTTTTGTAACAGGAGATGGAAGAAGAGTAAGTTTGGTCAACTCTCTACTGCAAATTTGGGGCACTGCGCGTCAAGCTAATGTGACACCAGATAGGAGTGGTGTGTTTAGTACTATTTTTATCAGTTTAATACCTTCCGCGTCTCCTATCAGTGGACGTGTACACGGCATTGATTTTTGTAACAGGGAGATGGAAGAAGAGTTTTGGGCGGTCCTCTTACTGCAAATTTGGTGCACTGAGTGGTCAAGCTAATGTGACACCAGATAGTAGTGGTGTGTTTAGTACTATTTTTATCAGTTTAATCACTGTTACGCCCCGACCGCTGAGCGGAGCAAGACGAGTAGAAAAACAAACAGGTACTCAGTCGAGGAGGTTATGGAAGATGAGCGCGAACTGCTCAAGGCGGGAGGCGGAGTGGCAGATGGTTGAGAGGGGACAAGGAGGACAGCAGTGGTTGACGTGGCTGAAGATGCTGGACCAGGAGGAGGCTGGCGGCTTAGAGTAGGCGAGCTGCTTGTACTCATGTGCTGATCCCATAGGCGTCTGTGATGTGAGATCATGTGCCTACGCAAAGCAGTTGTACCTAGGTGGGTGTTGGACTTCCCACGACTCAGTTTCTTTTGGCACAGGTTGCAAATGGCATCGCTGTTGTCAGAGGCAGACACACAAAAAAAATTCCACACTGCCGAGCTCTGCAATGACGGCATTCTGGTGGTGG